TCTATCATCTTCTCTAAGTTAAACTAAGCTGGCCATGCCAAACACATGTGAGTTGCATGACCACAATGTTCCGCTTGATCTCTGGGTTTTTATAATTGCAAACCTGCTAGAGTCACTGAATCTGGCAGGATATCAATTCTGCAATAAATAAATCAATGACCAAATGCTTTGAGTAATGCTACTTAGCTGCAATTCACCTAATACACCAATCAGTAAGCATGGATGTATTTTCAGGTGTATTAGTAACACAGAAGCTCACTGAAATCACTGAGTAATATCAGGGAAAGAGAAGAATCTTGATGATTTAAAGAACTGTATAAAACAATACTTTATCTCGCTTCTGTGCTCAGTGAATCCATGGCAGCCATGCAAGGTGGGAAGCATGTTCATGAAATGTTCACAAGCTAATATGCACTCTCAGTGCTTAACACTACATATACTGATTAAGAAACCGAGTGCTGAATTACAAAGTCCCTGATTATTCACTTTAGTTAGTCTCCTTGAGTTTCATTTGCACAGTATAGTTCCCCAGGCCAATTAAATTTTAGCAGCTGCATTTACACAGAATGCTAAATTTAGTGTTAATCTTGGCTAGGGTTATTTGTGGCTCAGTGTATTCTGTGAACCCAGCCCATGTGAATAATCTGTGTTCCATGTTTTGTACAAACTCAGAAAATGTGTCAACTCAGTAATCAGGGAAAACATGTATGAATGCTGTCGTTGAGTAGCTGTTAGAAATGTATTATTGATCTGTGTTGCAGATTGGGTAAAAATTATTGATATAATGTCTGTGAATTGATCTGAGGGCAGATGAATACTTCAGTTTACCTTTTGGTAACTGATAATGTGGTGGCAATAATAAAATAGATTTACTGTATGTAGGTTGAAATAAAAACAGCCACCATTATATAAAATACAGATAAGCATTTTTCAAAAAAATCCCCACCTTATCAGTTCTCCTGTCCCCATGGAACCCATTGTGGCTGAGGAAGCAGATCAGTATACAGGTAGTCCTCGACTTACAACCATTCATTTAATGACCATTCAAAGTTACAACAGAGCTGAAAAAAGTGACTTACAACCAGTCCTTGCACTTACAACCATCACAGCATCCCTGTGGTCACATGATCAAAATTTGGGCGCTTGGCAACTGGCATGTATTTACGACGGTTACAGCATCCCAGGGCCATGTGATTGCCATTTGCGACCTTCCCAGCCAGCTTCTGGCAAGCAAAGTCAAGGGGGGAAGCTGGATTCGCTTAACAACCATGTGATTCACTTAACAACTGTGGATTCGCTTAATGACTGCGGCAAAAAAGGTTGTAAAATCGGACATGACTCATTTAACAACAGCATCACTTAGCGACAGAAGTTTGGGTCCCAATTGTGATCGTAAGTCAAGGACTACCTGTACTGCTTAATGGAATACTTATTTGTTTCTCCTCATTTCTGATATTTAACTGACTATAAGAAGCCATCCCAGCCCCTTCCATCGAGGGCCCTGAAACTCAGACAAGGCTTCCATTGGACACAGCAGCTCATAGGCTGTAGTGTCAGGATATTGCTGCTTGTGTTACAATGTGTTTTATTCACTATACCTACATTAAAAAATACCTTCCCAACAGCCATGCTTGCACCTGATGATAGCATGAAAAATATCTCAACGTGGACTATAGAAAAAAATGAAAGTTATGTTGTAACCGTAGAGTAAGAGGTTAATTTATATTTATACTTACAACTGCTGTAAAAGAAAATCGGAAGTTACTTCTTTACACTTTTCTTTTTTCTTTCCCTGTTTTCCTGTACTTTGGCTTTGTCCTTTTCCCCCCTTTCTTTCCTTCTCTCTCTCTTCTATTCTAAATACTAGTTTTGGTTAGTGTCTATCTTTCTTGTTGAAAATTCTAATAAAGTTATTTCTCTGTGTGTGTGTGTGTGTGTATCTCAACATGTCTCCTCTTTTTAAAAGCTTGATGCTGAAACAGCACGGGAACATTATGCATTCCAGCACAATATTATGGATAACAGCAGAACTCCGTGTTAGATATCCTGGGATTCATGGCATTGCCCTTTAAAATACCTGTGGAGCAGGAATGGGAGTCCAGATTAACCCAAATCAAGAATATTGATGTCACATCCCTTTTTAACAGGAGTCAGGCATAAACGTAGCTTCCCCTGGAATTACTAGGTAGGTAGAATGTGGGCCTAGGCCAGTGTTGTCCAAACTTGGCCCCTTTAAGATGAGTGGACTTCAACTCCCAGAATTCCCCAGCCAGCATGCT